TACGAAAGGGTAATTCTTTTTTAATTTTAAAATAAATGATTCTAGAATAATTGTAAACATAATTATTGAAGATAAGAACACATATATATGTCATTTACTGGTGTTTGCAAAACTGGAAGTGAATGCAATGAAATTTTTAAGAACTTTTACATGAATAATCGTATGTGTGAAAATAATAGCTTACCAAAGATTTTGGAGTGCCCGGTTCGAGGCAAACAAATATTTCAGGAAGGAGAAGATTTCCAATGTCATCTTGACTAATGTGATTAATAAAGAAATCTGAAAGATCCAAAATTACCATACTTGTCTAAAAAAGACCAAAAAACACAAGAAGGATATTTTAATTTCCATGACTTTAAGATGCAACGTTAATTGCGAGCTATGGCTTCAAGTTTATCCGTAAATGTGACTTATAATGGAAATTACTTTCAATAATTAAGAAGCCTCTAAAACAATCAGTAACCTATAGTGTACTTAAGGAGTGAAAAGGATTATCACGGATTTCCTGAAACTCTGGGGGGAAATCGTAACATTTGTAGTCGATGAGGTCGAGATTGAGACATTGGCTCATCAGTTACAGTGTATAGAAATCTTGCTGTCTGACAAATATAGCAAGATGTGTGACCTGATAAGCCGTTACCCTGTAGTCGAAAAGCTACAAAACCTAGAGGTTAGGACGGTTAGCGCTATTCAGTGCCTCTAGGTTTTCAGTAGCTCTTTAGCTGATGAAATTTCGTGAAACATTTAGCTATCCAGTAGTATACTGCTTATTACGTTGGTTGAATGCGAAAATGCTTTCGATCAAATAAATGCAAAATCAGATATTTTTGATGCTGATATTACCCTGTATTCTAGTCTTGAATGTTTTCAGATTATTGAAATTAAAATACATATATATGCTTAACCACTTAACTAGGTACCAGAAAAATTAGTTAGTACACGACAAATGTGTTGACGAGACCGGAAAACATCTGTATATTCTCGTAAAGATCTAATATTAATATATCAGATACTTAATAATCGGTTATAAAATTAAAAAGATTTATTCGACGTATTCTGATGAGCACATAACTTGGATGAATAATTCTCAAAAATTACCAAACAGCTCGTAATAACTTGCTAACTTCTAAATATTCGCTTCTGGAACTGGTATATCAACTGTTAGATCTTATTTGTAGTTTTCTAATGCACTTTAAAGACAAAAAAGGTAATTTATACGTGTACATTTGGATTCCAGTACATTTATCTATTAAGTTCTGAATACAACAAAGCACAAGTCTACAATTACCCCACCCCATATAAGTCACAATCCATCTATCTTATATAATTTGTAAGAAAATGACTATCCATACAGAAATCACATACAGCAATAAAGACTGTTCGTAATTCAGTTAATTAATAAGGAGAATGTGGTTATACAAATCCGTTACACTACTAATAATTGTAATGTAAAAATAACAAATTTTTTATATTAAACATTTATTACAATAGAAATTATTCTAGTCAAACTTTAAATCTAATTTATTTTTCTAGAACCGGGCAAACTAAAATGATTTTGTTTTTCATTTTACCATTTATACTATAATTTTTAAAACTCAAATGACCTACGTTTTTTTAAATTGATTTAATAAGTTAATTGAATAATGTTAAAACAATGATAATCCATTAAAAGGATAGTCATTCATCCATGTAACTTCAACTCTGATGAATGGTATGCAACCACAACTTTTAATAATCATAAAAAAATGGCCACTAAATATAAGTTTAAAATCAGTTTTATTCGAAGCAAATAACAAAGTTTAGCTAACTAACAAATAGGTTTAGATATCATGTGCTAGATTACATTATTATTAATATGATTATAAAGAGTTCTCGAAAAAACGATCCCTTAAGTCAATTAAATTTTCACCGATTAAAATAATCGTCAAGAGATATAAAAGTGAATCATACAGAGTACAGTTGCAAACTCGATCAGCGGCCAGTAGAACAAAGATCAGAATGTTAAGAGTAAGGGGATTGGATAGATTGATTGTGTATGATAATGGCCGTACTATATGATGAATTAAACAAGGCCGAAAACTCTCATTGAATAGTCTTATTTTTTCGTGCTTGCTTTGGAACTGAAAACCAGAAGTTTAACCTTGTTCAGAACAATGAGTTCTGATTGTGTATGTCACTCGAAATTAGAACAACTCAGATGTCTTATACTTCCTGACTTTTAGTGATTCTGAAGCTAACATTAGTACCTGCCGAAAATGATTGTCTGAATGAAGACATTTGCGTATACCGCTCAACTAATTTGAAAACTTTAGAAAATCAAATTTACTTATCCAATCCTCACAGAAAGCTTTTTGAATGTAATACGTGCTCAGATAGTAGTTATTAAGCTTTCTAAAATATAAATGGTTAAAATAGTAAGTAATCCATAAAACGTTTCATACAACCAAGATATATATCTGTAACATCCTGAATCAAATAGGCTTATAACTCAAAAATAATATACAGCTCTGAGATAAGACAACAACTTAGATTACTCAAACCAAACATTTTAAGAAAGAAAACAAAATGGAATCATTATTTCAGGTTTATTTATTAAATATTGATCGACTGATCATTATCTTGGACGTTAATTAATCTAATGAAAATTTTAAGACATAAATTGTAGATAGTAAAGTTCTGAATTACATGAATATGTTCGAGTAAGTATCTTATGAAACTAGTTGGTGTTATTGTCGATCTTATTATTAGTTTCAAGTTTCATCTACATGCATACATTCTTATCATCAACACTGTTCAGAATGAAGTGGTTTTTAGTTGATTTATAAAGATTTGCTCAGTGTAAGAATAGATTTATATTTTTCAGTGAAAAACAAAAGCAATCGAAAATAATGTAATTTTTCCGAACTATTTATTTTGCTATTTTGCTATCAATAAAAATATTAACTTACTTGTTGACTGCCCTTGAAACATTCCTACCAAATACTTACTACGGTTGAATGGATATATACCTAATTGGTTTGATATAATCATTAGGATATTAAAGCACATAGATACACACACAGACACAGAAATTCACATTAAAACAGTAAAGAGAAGAAAAGAGGCTGACAACACTGATGGAGATTATTTAGTCTCCAATATTATGTGATAGCTGATTGTTCATTCACAATGTAAAACTAATAACTAAGTGTTTAAACATCAGTAAACTTGAAAAAGACAGTTGCTACAAAATTGTATATAGAACTTCCGAAGTATATTTCAAGTGCTAAGTATCTTTATACAATATTTAATAGTTAATTGTTTGATTAGGTAATAAGGTTGTCATAAACTGACTGAATTGATATGAAAAATATGTCTTTTTGCTATATATTTCGAACGATTTGATCGCAGATTTATTTGATCACAATGTATTGAGTGAACATATCACATTTTTCTAATCAACTTCGTCGTTTCACCAACCTTTCAAAATTTTTAAAAAGCACTATTTGCTACAAATTATAACGTTCTGAGATTAATTTCCACGTCCACTGTTATGTGAGAAAGACCAGCCGAAATATATTGACATTTTCATTGGTTTGTGGTTAGGATGGTGAATGTAACACCGTTATAACCATGCACCTTTTTTTAAAACTGATTAACCAATACTAATAAAGCTGCTGTCCACGAATCTTCAAACCATGATGTTTTTAATCTCTTGTTGAAGAGGGAGAAATCTGAGTAGAAATCATAAGTTACAGTTTCTAGTATTCATTATTAGTTTAACGCATTTATGAATATCATAAAGTAGGAGTATTTACTCATATTTTTCAAACAAATTTCAAATGTAATGTCACTGTCTCCTTTATTTGTTGTCAGTTTATTAACATCGTTATTTATTATTTCTTCGACTCAGACACAAGAGAAAATTATAACTACATTTTGTGTTTAATATGGAATACAGATAATCGCATCCTCTGGTATTGATTACAACACTTTCAAATCAGAAGACACTGAAAGATTTTTTTTGCATTTGTAATCGAAACTTAAACCAATATGTGTGATTTACAATTAGATATATATTCATTAAGATGAGTATTACTTGACATTTAACAATCAATCGTTTATTGGGTCAACTTGGATGCACAATATCAGACAAATTAACCATTTACGAGCAATAGATACAACTAATATAGTTACACCTTCTTAAGATGTAGTTGCATGCCAAAAACGAATGGCAAAAGAAGATAATGTCAAACATCAACAACATTCAAATCAACTAAGCCCTTAGTTACAATATCAGAAAAAATTCTCACTTTCCTGAGAAAAGTCACATATCTACGTTGTGCAATATAAACACTATTTTTGTGACTCAGTATTTGGTATCTTATTGTAGGATACAACTGTCTAAGTTCAATGAAAGTTTACAGGCACATAATAAAGGATTTTCACAGACAGACAGTTAAGTCATTATTGTAGTTTTTGATATAAATAATTGTGTAGAACGTTTAAAACTATATGATCAGTAAGAGTAATAAACAATAAATTAGTCATATACCGTATACGGATTTTGATGATGACCAGAAAAATATAAAAATTTCATTGGCTTCAATTATTTGGAACTTTTAAAGAGGTAACTAAGTGGATACTCGTCAAGCCAAAATGATTAAACACTAATTTCGCAGAAAATAAGTGACATCTGTCAGTTCATTTCCAAACAAGATAATCTAGTGTATGGTAGTTATCAGTCAGATGATATGTATCAATAGCTCTATTTGAACTATTTCAAAATATTTGTGCTTATTAATGGTACTTGATTCCACGTTGATGAGATCACACGAAATACTAGTGCTTCTTGCCATTGGTTCACTTTACAAATTTAAGCAAAGAAAGACCTATGCAGTCCGCAAATAGTATCGTTCCTACTTCGTTCATATTAGTAATTGTATGTACTTTTAGTTAATTTTGCTGATAGTAAATAATTTATTTTAGGTGGTATTGGCGTTTATACAAAGACTTACAGTAAATAATTGAGTTATGAAAATAGATTTATGGGTAAAAGAGTATTGATTACAAATGATAGCTGAAAGAAAACCAAGTGCTTCGATGATTAAAAATATTGAAAATAATAACAATCTTTGGAAAAACTGAATTCAGTTCCACTAATCCATACATTCTTATATACTTGTATTCGGTATCATACTAAGACGAAAAAGGCGTCCAGTGCTTCCAGCTTTTCAATGGTGGTCTAACATTGATCCATTCATGATATCAATCTAAACTAAACAGTATCCGCGACCCTATATTGACAATAAAATAAATATAATGACTTCTATTAATCTTATTTTACTTTCACTAATTTACCTGAAGTGATTTGGTTTCCGTTAAAATTTTGTGCAAGTGGGATTTTAAATATTTGTCATAATCATCAGATTCCGCCACTTTAATCATGGTTAAAAATGATGGTAGAATATAGGGAATTAATTCGTTTGACTCATATAACCATTGTAAAATAAGTGGTAGAATATATTTATATCTGACATTCTGAAATAAAATGGAAAAAAGTATGCAAATATTATAGAATTAATCAGATATTACATTAGATCCAATAAATAATTACTAGTTGATGAAAGAAATATCAGATATGTTGAGGATAGATTTATATGAAATGAATGGCGTTGACACGCAATTTATACGTCGATTTTCATTTTTTATAGCTAAAGTTTTCTAAAGATTGAAGTCATACCGTAAAACGTTTAAAATAATGAGCAATCGTAATATGTTTAGATCTAATCTGTTGTTGCTCAACATTAAATCATGTAATTTAGTTAGCTTATTATTTTTACTACAAATAGGCATCACAATCTATTTAGTTGAAGTATGATTTAAGCATCTCCCCCTGTTACATTAGGTTCTTTTAACAAAATTAATTGAAAATTTGAGAATAATATATGTAGATGGGATAATTTCAAGTGATAAGCTAGAGTTCACCTTGATATCTTATTCAATTTTAGCTCAACGTTTTGACTTGTGAAGTTACAAGTGGTCTAGTTTCCCACGAACAAGATACTGATTGCAGAATATTTCAGAGTGGTTACGGTTTTAAGGAATTTTGATCAATAATGAAGTTTGGACAAGAAGGAATAGATATTTGATGCTTTCTGCTTTAAACGTATTTTTCATTCGTGATGCAAATAAACGTAAACTGCTAATTATACTCACGAATAGCATGATGGGCGAGTAAGGAGGTGTTTAATCTCCCTTCAGTTAACCACCCCATTCCAGTTAAAGAAGTAAGAATTTTAAAAATAAACCTCGCTCCAATGCGAATCATAATCAATAATCGTGTAATCAACTTACAGGTTCAAATAAGGGTATAACTTTAGGGAGTCGGCCAAAGAATTCTTTCTTCTGATTTAATGTTTTATCATTCAATGTTAGTAAACCTTCGTAAGAAAGAACTACTGGTTCGTTAAATACCTTTAACTAAGAAGATAACATGAATAATGCATAAAGTATGAAGTATTTTTAATGTATATATGTATTTTGTAATATAAATGTACATAATCTTCACAAAATGGTGTCATTTAAAGAATAGTTGGTAAAGGAGTGTCAAGAAATATATTTCATAACCTCTACAAGAATCTTAGAATTTCATAGTAAAGGTGACGCCTAATATTCCAGATAAAAGAGGTTGAATCAGAAGATAAGCAGATATTTTCCACGTACTGATGACTATCCAACACTGTCGTCTAGATTGCATTCACCAAACAGTTTCACTTAATCAGTAAACTTCGATTCATAAACTAATATTTTGAAACTTATTTGTGGGCATGAAAAATGAATTATTGAGGATGGATATATTAATAATTACCAATACACAAAGACCGTGTATATTTCAGAAATAAAATGTAGTTTTCATTGATCACTGTTACTATTGGGTTTACTTATTAAACTTTTCATCACGCGGATATTTTAACGAGTACGCTATTTTAAATCTTATTCTTATTGCATTACTTATTCTGTTGTTGTAGGAATGTATAAAATACAGCTGTTTAGTTTAGTAAAGACGAAAATAAATCAGCATGTTACAAAACAATCTAGCACGTATATGATTCAGGTTCTTTTATATTAATTTTTGCTTGATTATTCCATGATCAACTAATTGCACGTAGTTGAAAATGAAGTGTAAAGACAATGAAATCGTTGTTCATTGCATTATTTATCCTCAATAATCCAATTGTAGTCCCAACTTTTGCCTCGCATTACTGATATCTTAGTAGAAAATGCTCTGTCAAGAGAATTTATGAAATATATTTTTCATTACATGTTACATTTCATTTTTATCAACGTGGTCATGACTGTGAACTGGCCTGTATTCCATAATTATTTTCAGAATATGAATTTATTTATTTTTTAACCGAAATTACTTAATTAACGCCAACGGATATTAAAGTATTGGTTTATTCTTACTTCTGCATTCAGGCTCTGAATAATATTCGCATTTGTGGCTGAAATATCATTAATATGTGTCATCACTAATGATGATAATAGTTCTCTAAGGAGGCCTTTGCAATTACTTGGAACATTTGATGCACTACTATCGGACCTATGTTTAATGTGTATGCTAACAAAGCCATTAAAAATAAACTGTTATTATTAGTTAGGTAGTTTAATTAATTTTATTTTTAAGCCATATACTATATCCAGTTATCAAAATAATACTATTTTCTTTTATTTTGTACTATATAATGCCAGTTAGAAGGGTTATACTAACTTGAGAGTAAACGAAAGTTTGTAGTCATATTCTCTAATAATTTAACCCATGTTTTAAGGAATGTCAGTTCTCTTTTTTATACATTTTATAAAATGTCAGCTTACATTCCATGATTCAAAGTTATCAACTTTACTTAATTAAATTTGTCAACTTCGTACTCAGCTAACAGTTGATATTTTGACTGAAATTTGATCAGTCTTGGTTGGTATGAGTGAATCTACTGCGAATTGCCTAGATATAATCATTGTGGCACATTCCATATAAACTTGTGTCATAATGGCTACATCAAGGCAATAGCACTGGCTAAACATATACCGAACATGTCTGATAACATTTCAGTCAAAATATCAACAACGAGATCATCCGAATTATTAAAAATTAAATTAAAGCTCATATATATATTGCATAAGTAAGTGGTTTTCTGGGCTCATTAGGAAAGTGGATACCACATTGATGTTTAAAGCGGACGGTAATGGGTTCGAACCCCGGAGTGAACAACTCTAGGATGGTGGTGTATCCAGCTAAAGAATCTCAAAAAGAACGAAACGTGCATCGTGTATACCAAGGCTAGCTGCATTCCATCTGTTTATATTAGTTAATGAAGTTTTTTTATTATAAATGCTTAAGTTACTAGATTACATTAGGTTAATGAGAAACAAGCCTTGCAGTAGTTTTGTATTTATAGCTGTCACTCAGTTCAAAGCCCTGTCATTTTTATAGAAAATACACAGACAATGATATCTGTAGTCAAAGTAGTAGCTAAAACTACAGGTCATCAAATTTCTTTCACCAGATTAATAATTCATTCTTTAGTTTTCTTGTGAACAGGATAATAAATATTATGACCAAAATATTGATTATTTACATACTGTTATCATAAAATATGTTTACAATCATAGATAAGGAACCATTTATTCTTGTTTACTTGGAATGATTGTCATGAATAATGATGAAAAATATAAAAAGCAGAAACATCAATAACTTGAACTAAACATTAAACATTTTGTTTCACTCTAATCACATAAACCATGAGTTAAAAAGTTGATTATCAGCATCTGCAGAACAATTATCAATCTTTTTTTATCTATTCATCTTAATAAACATGTTAAATAATATGAATGTTTATCTGTGAACAATTGATGATAGAATATGAATAATAAGCAAGATTGTTCGTTTGTTCAATATAATGTTTGAAGAAAGTTGATGATCGAGTAAACAACTGACAATGAGTATATTGATTCTTGTTATTGTTGATGTCAGTGATCTCTAGGAGCAAAAATTAATTTAGTTTTGTAACAGAGCGCAAAAGCCAATATTTTTATGAAGACATGTAATAACGAATGCTAAGTATGACCTTTTTAACTTTAAAAAGAACACATAGTTTTCTGTATTTAACGTAAAATTTATTAAACAATTGTCAATTTTAAAACAAACTATATTCTATCATTGCATAGTAATCTGAAGCTAATCATTAACGAATTATTCAGTATTTCGAGATTCTTTTGGATGATACGTGTCGCCTTAGATGATAGCAAACACTATTGAAGTTTACTAAATGATATCTGCTATACAAATAACTTTTTTTCAAATCAGTTTTTTGTTTCATAAGTGATAATTAACTTAGAGGTGTGATGCTGGCCTTTGTCGACACTCATTCTGTGAGCTATGATAATTAAGTTTGAACTAAAATTTTACAAGGACGGTTTTCAAAGGGCAACTGCTTGCTGTAAAAGTTTATCTGTGGACTTGAATTTTCGAGTGACAAACATATAAAGTAAATAACGCATATTGAAATTCATATATTTAGCACCAAATAATACACTTAAGAATACATGATTTATTTAAAGATAACCGTGATACGAATAACCTTAGAGTAAAAAGCACCAAAATACACTCTAAACTATGTTTTATTCTTTATGAACAAGCCTTATTAATAAGATTTTCTGTCATCCTGATTTTTCACTGTCTCATTTAATAATCAGGAGAGCGTAAAAATAGTGATAATTTCATCCCATAAATTTATCCTAACTTCAGTTTATTAATCATACGGTTCTCTACACATCACTCAAAAAATTAGAATGAGTGTATAAAATAAAATAGTGATTTGTATTTAACTGCTCGTTCGTAACTACTACAAAAAAACCCATTTTCTATAAGTCTTAGAAACCCCATTCGCTACGGATAATCATATTTTCTTAACCAGCTTGACCAACTTGTGTGAGCTAATCAGCAACTATAATTTACTTCTAAAAATAGATGAAATTTATGACACAGGACAGTGGACATGGGATTTGGATGGTACATCGTGAAAATTTACGTGCATTAAATGAAGTCAGTATTTTTGGCACAAGTAGTTTTTCTTGCAGCCTAAACATATGAGCCTACCTTTCTTTTATGCCCAAGAGGTTTTTCGTCAAGGGAACGAAAAAAGGTGGGACTTTCAACCTGGATGACATTCAAGTAAATACAGAAAGTACAAATTTTATTAGCGAACCAAGAACATTGTTTACCGTTTAATGATATTCGTATACATTAGTTGCAAAAACATCCATACATACTAAAGAAAAAGTATTCACATTATGGTGTGAGCGTACTCACTGCAAAAAGTTAGGTATTGTATGAATTTAGTAAAACTTTTGATGCTCTTCCAGAAATTTGTTAGATATTTAATTCTTCTCCATCTTCATTAACGTAACATCTGACAGGCATCTATGGCATAACACTTCAAAAAACTTCCGTTTGGGTCAGAAATTTTGCTAGTTACAAATCCAAAGGTTACTCGCAAAACTTCCATAGGTGCATCTAATATCACCAACTAGCAAAGCAGTATTCCTTCTCTGTTACACTTGTAGGTACCGTCAAGGCCTAGCGAAGTTCTTTTGATAACACAGCGAGAAGAAATTACTCTCCAGTTTATTATTTATATTGCATTACATCTGTCCCTTGAGTCTCAACTTAACGAAAACAGTTACAAATATTCGTGGTGTAAGTTAGGCAGACCTGGAAGTGTGTTGGATACACGAAGTCAATTATAACAATGGCTGCGATTCGGGAAACCGAAAATGGGGGAATGCTTCTTGTTTGATCTTCTGGAAAACGACAGAATAGTAGCCTATTTTTATGAACAGTCTTTTCGCCTTCCAAACATCAAGGCAGCATCAACATTTACAGTAACTAACTTTTCAAATAAACTAGGCTTCCGATGAAATCAACCACTTACAAAAATCAATTTCAACAGCTTCTCAACTAAGCTTTTTGAAATATAAATAGAGGTATGATGATATGACAGGATTAATGTGAAGTGTAGATTTGAAGTAGAATTGAAAAATTGCTGTATTTCTTGGTTCGAATGAAGACTCTCAATTAGATAGGTATGAAAATGAGTGATCTACATGTGTTTAGCACATCTATTAACGATCTGTTTACAGCTAGATTTATCACCAATGCGTATACTTTGTGATAAATAACCAGTCTGACTAACTTGTATTTTTCAATAATTAATGGTAGTGAATCCTTGGATAGCACTGAAAGCATAGTGCAAATCTAGTACAATTAAAAGTCCTTTAGAGTTGTCTTAAAACTTTGGACAGGCTTAATAATCAAGACTTTAATCTGATGATCACAATGTTATCTAAGCTCATTTATGAATCAACTGAGGAGATGTATTGAATATAGTATATCGTGAATAATATGTGAATCACCATTGATTGGTAAATTCCATAAACTTAACAACTTATTACATCATAGTTTATGTTACAAATACTCGATATTCTAAACCATGATTGGAATATTGTGAATTTAGACAGAGTCAGATACCTGCATGATAGCCATATCTTATGTTTAAAAAATAACATACAGCGTTGTAGTATACATGTTGTTTGTAATATATCTATACTTCTCACACGAACCTTGGTTGTGGCTAACTAGACAGTAATTCCATGGTTTCAAAAAAGTGCTTTAAAAAAGTGATTCAGTCAAATTCGGATAATTAGATAGTACAGCAAGAGGAAATTTATTAAAAGGATTAAATTCAAGCCTCATTTTAGGTTTCAAGATGAATGAATTAACTATTGTCGAAGAAAGCTCCTTGAAGAATAAAATCGAGTTTTCAAAGCATTAGTCAGTGATGTATAAATTTGATCATCCTATAATTGTGTCTCATACAATTCTATAACATACTTTGTATTGGATAAAAAGCTAAAGGTCATTAATTGACTGGTTTTAGCTAATTATTTTAAATCAGTAATCGAATGTATGGAAATGCCATAAATTAGAAGTATGATTTGTAGGATAAATAGGTTTTGTGAATTAGATATACAGCAAGCTTAAAACATGTTTGTTTATTTTTGTAATGAGCCCACCTTCATTTACCTGGTAGATGCAAGTTTTTGCCACAGTCTACGTTGAATCTGATTGACTGACTGACCTGGTAATTATATATGCATATAAAAGTCGATTGAAAAAATTCGTTTATCATGTACACTGATCAATAGGAATTTATTGCAGGTATATATAACTACATTCATTTGATTTATTGAATTAAAACAGTCATTTTACATCGGTTTCTTAACTTGATGTAAGCTTCATCTTATTTGTTTACACTTTCTAACAAGGTGATCTTAGAAGAGTTTTCTGCTGTTATTCCATGAAGTGACCAATAGAAACGTGCCCTATGGTTAGCAAAGCAAAATGAGTAATCTAAAAACTGTCAACTTACTAAAGCAAAAAGCTGTGATGTCGGTCTTTCACGAACATCCTTACTGATCATTTTACGTACAGGTTCTAATAAAGCTCTGGGTAGTCGTTCACATATTTTTTCAAAATTATTTGGGATCTAGAAAAAAGGAAGAAGATGAAAAACAAATAATTAGAAAGTTGGCTTTTATCATCATAATATTTCGTATCATTGAGTTGGACACAGAACAAACAAGTTAATTATCTAACTTTATCCATTGATGCAAATCTCTTTTCACTGATATTCAACTTGGTTCATTGATGAAAATATCAATATCAATGTATTTATAGTGGGTAAGTTCTGATTGATGTTGGGGTCTGCTATTTTTAAGTGTTGCCTAGTAACTGGCTACAAATAGGAATATACACTGAATATTAATTACAAACATGTTATTTAGGATTTTAATTATTTATTTATCCATCATGTGGATAACGTTTTATTACTTTTGACTTATTCAATTCAATGTTATGGCTGGTTGCTATATGTCTGAGCCATATATATATATATATATATATATATATAAACGATATTTATCATCTAATTGAAGGCTAGTGTGTAACATCGAAAAAATACTGCGTTTTCGTCTTTTGCATATTGTTCTTGTCCCATGGATACCATAGATTTAGAGTTAATTGCTATGACAATTCAGGTTAATGAGCATAAAATATGGAAGTACCGTTTGTTAATAATAAAATATTTTTTCGGTTAAGAAGTTAAATTTCATAATCATATGACTTCAGTTAATGAATTATTGAAATCTCATAATCGCTAAACAGGTATTTTTTGTTAGTAGCATAATTAACTTCATTTTATACTCAAGATCCCATGTGAGAGAACTAAGGTTTTTTAGGAGATTTAGATAACAAACCACTGAAAATATACATTATGACATTTTTTTGTTATAGCCATACAGAGTAAGCAAATTATTAGTAAGATGAATAGAATTCTGACCTACAATAAAATGAGTTTAGTGATTATATAACAGAATAATAAGTGATTGGGTTCTTCAATAAAACTGAAAAAATTCGACCGTTCAAATCAAGATGTTTTTAATCTAGATACTGGTCATATTTTAAAACACTACTGAGGAGTCCCATACTGAGACGAAACGGAGTTTCAGTGCTTTCAGGTTTTCAATGGTGGTCTGACATTGTGTGATTCGTGATTTCACTGGAACTCTACAATCTTGACAACTCTATACTAAAAACAGATAAGTATACATACTTTAATCATGATTATTCTCTGCCGGTAGAGATATTCCGTATAACAAGCATCTTAACTTATTAGTTAACCAACAGTTATATTTTCTCTGTTACTACGATAATCTAATCGTCTAACAGTAGACATCCGGCTGTGACGCGGATTTTCTCCAAGTTAAACGAAAATTTTCATATAAGTTCTGTTCAACACAATATCTAGATTATCAGCGACAAGAGACGAGTTCTTAAATTTCTAATAGGAAGCCATAATAAAGAGTCAACGAAGTAATTGACTAATACACTAACACCATTGAATATTTTATGCTCTCTATCACAAAGTAATTGTGGTAGATTGCTACTTGGTAGTTTCAAATTGTTAAAATCTCATCGAGCACTCGAGATAGTAAGCTTATTCCTCCAAGAGACCTAAATTAAAAAATCCTAATAAATCCTTAATAAGGACAACACGGACATCCATGTAATAGAAATAAAGCTAACCCCATTTCGTAATATGAATTAACTTGTTTCTTTGGTGACAATTATCTTCTAAATCCAGGACATTTATTGAATTGTCTATTTGGAAATATTTACTGTCACTAATAACTTATGTTTTGTAACAACAAACATCAGTAATGAAGTATGGATACACAGAATTAATTTATACCTGGTTAATTGTTACATACTATATTTATTTGTTCTACTAACCATTTACAAAATATATAATTAACATAATATCATAGATACTTTTTTAATAGTAATTATTATTTTTCTTCTCTATCAATACTGAATCCTTTATTTTCGGAAGACATTAGTTGAATATGTTTATGACGCCAATATCAAATATTTAGTCTCATTATCTGCTTATTATTATATGTTCACATTGTAAATGAATTAAAAGGTTTTTTTGTATCGGAAATAAAGTTTTACATTGTTTCACTGGATCATTTGTTATCATGAAATAATCAATAAATAAGATGAACAAATTCATATTAAAAGCTTCAATGTATTTTAAAGGCTGTTTTAAATAAATTAAACTTTTGCTATTTGGTTCAAGAACGTGGAGAAAAACATTGCCAGCTTATAGGGACAGTGGAAGAATTCTGTGAATGGTAATCAGGTTCCTATATTTATGCATGATTTTCCTGATTGGTTGATAAATTGGATTGAGTTCAATATGTTTGTTGATTGCTGATTGACCTGAGTGCCAGGCTTCTAAAAATTCTCTAGTGTTTTCGGAGTTTCCTCTGTCTAAGATTTCTACATTTTTCCAATCGAATGAGTGTCCGTAGTTATCCACGTGTATTGATATAAGTGAAGAGATATCATGGCGTTTGACTGCTGATTGATGTTCATGTAGGAGAAGGTGGAGGGGGGGTCCGCTTTGTCCGATGTAGTGTTTGTCTCAGTTGGTACAAGTTATTTTGTAGATGATGCTTGATTTGTTTCCCTTTGTTATTTTATCCTTTGGTTTGCATAGGATTGATTGTACACACATTGTTCAAGAAGGCGAGGACACACGGCAGCACACTGGCAGCACGAAAAATGGAGAGAAATACCTGAAGGACATATTTCAAAAGAACGGCTACCCAATCAACTTCATCAAAAAACACCAACCGCACGCAGCATCAGAACCCAAGTCAAGCACAAAAATCAACAAAAGGATCACCCTACCGTACATACAAGAAATATCAGAAACCGCAACGAGACTGCTGAAAACGTTTGGGATAGGTGTGGCATACAAACCGACAAAATCACTACAATCAATCCTATGCAAACCAAAGGATAAAATAACAAAGGGAAACAAATCAAACATCATCTACAAAATAACTTGTACCAACTGAGACAAACACTACATCGGACAAAGCGGACCCCCCCTCCACCTTCTCCTACATGAACATCAATCAGCAGTCAAACGCCATGATATCTCTTCACTTATATCAATACACGTGGATAACTACGGACACTCATTCGATTGGAAAAATGTAGAAATCTTAGACAGAGGAAACTCCGAAAACACTAGAGAATTTTTAGAAGCCTGGCACTCAGGTCAATCAGCAATCAACAAACATATTGAACTCAATCCAATTTATCAACCAATCAGGAAAATCATGTATAAATATAGGAACAAAAATCAAGCCAATGGGAGACACAACCAAAACAAAGTAAACAATGATAAATTTAAGGTCAATAAGAACCAATCAACATCGAGGTGCACAGAACAACCTGTGAAACACATATGGAGAAATTCGAACACTTCACTTCTATCTGAAGTTTGTGCTGATGATGTCGTTCAGAAGAACAATGAAAGTTCCACGACCAAACCATCCAGCTCAGAGAACAAAACGCCACCAAAATCATCCACCTGAGCTACAAATCTTCTCCACCATCTCAGGTATATTTTAAACTAGGATAGACGCATTTAGATTTCCTCAAGTGTTCATGCACTATCACTGTACCTACGAAATACAAAAATTCCACTTTCCAATGCAAATATGAAAAAAAGTGGATAATCAGTTTCGTGAATGTTATTCTTAGATATGCAACATAACTAGTCGTTCGATTATTTGAGTAATTTCAAAAAGCCTCCATTCTGATCAGATAATAGAAGTTTAGATAAAACAAAAAGAAGCGTAACTTAACTGCCAGATGGCAGTTATTAAATAGATCGAACTTAACGGTTGTTTATTTCTAGTACAGAACTCTAGGAGTACACACTTTTGACCGCATCAAGGGCCGAACATGGGATCTCTGTTAGCATGTTACCTTCAGACTACTGTGTTGGTATCATTGGTTCATATTTATATGTTCAATCAATTTACAATCATAAGCAACTACTATCCACTCCTACACATGGTAAGAGACTAACTTTCGATATGATTAAGTTTTATCAGTCACTGCTATCCACTAGAACTTCGGAAACCTTTTACAAAAGTGGTCAGTGTTTGAGGTTGCTCATTGTTTGTTTAGATCTCTGATATTGTGAACAAACTGAACAAAATCGGCAAAACTCTCACTTCATAAGCAAAAATATTTATTATTTTGTCAATGTTCTTTTAAAAATCGGTTTTTCTCTTGTTATAGGACTCCAAAGCAAACTTTATATCAAGGATAATAGTTCTAACAGATTAAATTCTTAGTTGATGTTCATTTGACTACAAATGAAATAAACATTTATGAAAAATTCAATTTGTATTGTTCGTTTGAATCTTCCCATTGATGTTTGGGACTGCAATTGATCAGTGTTTTATTGGCATATATGCATCCTGTGCGGATATTGTACCAGGCATTATAAGCAAAAATAGATAGTGACTAGCAGTGAACATCAAATCTATGATGTAGATACATCTAGCTGACGAGTCCCGAATAGGACGAAACGCGTGTTCTGGATTCCACTGATAAATACCATTCATCTTTATTTATTAAAAATACTGTAGGCTTACCTTTATATCTATTAATCAGTTTGTGAAATGGATTTTTTCTCAGTCAAATAATTTATTGTATCTATCCAAATAAATTAATTGTATAATTTGTACAGTTCTTTTTTCTCATCGTTATTTTGGAAAACATGAATTACTATTGTTGATGTATTATTGTTCCGTCTGACTTTTATCAACAACTGGTGTAAATACACTTAAACTGTATATCACGTCAAGAAAATCTTCCCTGGATATCTTCTGGAAGATTTCTTTTCCTCTTTAACATTTTATTATACCTTGTCTGCTGATAAACATTCTTCTATGATCACACATACAATTAATAATATTGTTCATGTATTGTCGTAGATGCTAGTTAGTATCTTTTACAAAGCTATGGTAAGCGTCAAAAGGTTATATATGCAATGAAAATGTTGATTTTTTTCAGCTTAGACTATATTTTTGAACAGAACAACTGGTTTAAATGAAATCAAGAAATGAGCTAAGTTAGATCACTACTGAAAACCTGGGATCACTGAACATCCTAACTTAGATCGGTTCATGATTTCAGTGAAATTCAACAATATTGACAACTTCATACTGAAAAAAACTAGCTGTTTTACACTTTACTTTCAAAAGAAGGATTTTCATTCAAGGTTTTAGTTCATAAAAATCATTTAGTAATTTATGTTTATATATATTTGGAGTTAGAAATTCTGTCTTAACATAAAATTCCTACGTGGACTGACTTGTTGCTTATGAAATCAGAAATAAATAGCTATTTTCCTATAAGGAAAGTTCTGATGACGTTGTCAAAAAAACCAGTGAAGCCTGCGGAATAGGGAAAAATGAGCTCAGAGAACAGTACACCACTCAAGCATTATATTTGAGCCTAACATATCTTCACTTCATTTCATAACCATACGAGGATAACAAATAGAAGTATTATTTTGTAGTAATAAGGTTATGTTAGGAAAGAGAACAAATATTTAAAAGAATGACTATTTTTTATTAGTAACTGTCAAAGATGGGCCGTTATGCTAAAAAAATAGACGTATACACTCGATTTAAATCTAACTTACTTCAGGCAATTGTTTAACATAAACATTTGGATTTTGCTCTGAGTCAATCAAAGAATGACCCTGATTATGAATAGCACAAACTACCATTCCTAAGGAAAACATGTCGGCAAGCGGTGACATGGAATTATACATCTGAGCTTCTGGAGCAATAAAATCTAAATCTGGTTGAGCAAGCACTGGTACTTTTACTGAACATCCAGTAAACTTTGGAGTTATCTATAAAGAAGACGTATCATAATGTTCACAAATCATTGATTAATTCAAAAAATATTTAAAAGTAAATTTGAAAACTGATTTTATTATGGATGACTTACGACTCGTTTCTCTGCCAGCAACAACTATATTTTCAGCCTCAATTCTCAGTTCTTAATTTTCAAACGCTGAGTTAAGGAACTTCAGACAATTTTCACATGTTAACTGATTTGTGTTTATTAATATTCTGTAGGTGCATTATCATCTGTATTTCTAATTGGCGGTTATTATTATTATTATTAAGTGAAGTTTAGTGAACAATCAGATGTATAAGAATTTTACTTGGACTGTTTCTGTACTGGTTACTGATTTGTAAGCAAATCAACAGTCTTTTCTTTTGTTTAGTTGTTTTGATACGACAGTATTGCTTCTAAAATATTACTAATGCAATCATACTTGTGAACTTTAAATTATATATTTATACAATTTTATGTGATCACTCTTTACTTTTGATGATAAATATGAACTTTTCCAGTTGCAACATGTCGGACGTGTCACAGTTGTCATCAACGGGACTGTGATTGCAAGCCAGCCAAATGGTTCTAATGGTCAACTGTAATTTGCAAGATCATACGTTGGATAGTGAATGTTTACTGTTAAAAAGTCTCTTAATAGGGCGAAAAAATGCCCGGTGCTTTCAAGTTTTCAATCATTACTCAAATAAAATTGACTCGAATTGACTTAAATATAAGTGACGAATTCAATCTACGAGTGTACGCATTGTTTAGCCATTAGTTCAACAATTAATTTAGCTGAATAAGGATTCGATATGTTTGCTAAATTACTTTCACAAATTATGCTAGGAAAAATAGTGTCGAAACGAGGTATTGGTAGCGAGTACTTATTGAGACTTAATCTTAGACAACTCAGGTGCCAGCCTAGTAGTCTAGAGGTCAGGTGAATGTGCGTCAAGCCGAAGGTCCTGGGTTCAAGTACAGTGTGCGGAATCGTGGATGGGCCCTGCTGAGGAGTCCGACACTAGGACGAAGTGGCGTTCTCGTGCTTTCACTTTTTTTGAATGGTGGTCTAACATTTACCGCTTCGTGATTTAAACAAAAACTCAATAATCTCCATAACCGTATACTAATATAAGTTTTTTGTTCACTCAATTTTGACGTTAAGAACTTAAATTATTTTTTACTAGAAAGCTTTTTACTGTGTTAACGTAGATTATAGAAAATGACTAGATTATATTATTTGTTATGAAGATAAGATTCCAAATGACATGCCTTTCTACATCTTGGATATATATATTATATATAATATTGATGATACTTGTCCATGTTTGAGTACAATTAAGAATCCTAAGCATTGAAATTGGACAGTCATAGCAATAAGTTCTTTTCTTTAATTATGTAACTGCAGGATATTTAAAAAATACGTATAAAAACGTTTCAAATATTGATCAGTAGCCAAATCACATCCATTTGTAAATGTTTACGTTCATGTTTGTTCCTGTGATTCTGAATACTGTATTATTCATTCACCAGAGGAGGAGGAAAGTACACTGTTCCTGTGGTGTTACTTTTTATGTTCGAAATGTGTTCTTAACATTTTATGAAAGCTCAATCAAACATACTTGATAAGCTTACAGGTTTTTATAAATAATGCAAAAATTGATGTCAGTTCAGGCTACGAAAACTGGTGGCTCTAGAAAGTGAGAAGGTCCACGTGCATGTTTGATGCACCAACTAATGAATCCTAACTTTTATTGACTTCGATGTATGTGAATACATAGGTTTTAAAACATTTTATATTTCATAGCAGCCTAAAAGATTAAATCTACAGCACTTAGTGTTACCATGAAGGTATTCAGTTACTGATTGACATCCGTTGCAGATGAATCAATAAGATCATTTCAACAGTGTATTGCTTTTTGTGAGCTAAATGCTCACTCAGAGAATAAACTCATCAATAAAGACCAAATGATTTTAAGAGACAATTTGACATTTATCCATGAGTTCTGAGAAGGTTATATTTAAATAACGGAATAAAGATTTTGAGGAATTCCTTTGGGGACGCATTATTTAACTTCACTGATTCTTGATGCTTTGTTCGCGATACAATAAAGTTGTCAAAAGTTTTTTAATCCAAGCAAGACAAATGAACACTTCAACCGGAAGTTACTTATTATTATTACTATGAAAACTCTGACTAATCACTTTGTTGAAATAGTCAGATTTTCAATCATTTCGAAAATGAACAATCTATTATTGTTTTAGAAGTTATTTATAAATGACAAGATGACGATCTATTCTTCTTGTCAGAATTCAACTGAAACAAACACTAAAGTATATTTTAGAAATTGATGTTTAAAGTTTTACTGGGTTGTATTCTATTTTTACTACTGATGGTAATTTTTTTAAAAAAAATATGTCGCAAAACATTTTTCCAAAGTTTGTTGTTACCTACTTTTCAACGCAGTTGTTAGTTTTTATTTTTTTAGATGAAAATCAATTTTAATGATTTATTATGCTTGAGTAAAAGTAGTAGTTTCTTGTTAAGTTTTAATTACATTTAATTCAGTTTATCAATGATGAAGCGGTTTTTATTAATTCATACTTAATATATATCACTACAGTTGCAAATCTTTCTGATCAGGGTTAGGGCTTGCATAAACGGATGTTGACCAGTAGGCTTATCAACCAAACTGAATGAGTATGCCAAGCGAAATAAAACACCATAACCATGAAGGAGTAAGAAATGCAAATTGTTAACAATGATTTTCTGAACAAGATTAGTTGGCACTTATTACTTTTTAACAGAATGTGGTTGAGAGTAACTCATAAATAGTCGACATTTTCTTCGCAATATAATGTCATTGAATATTGTACTAATTAGTGTTATACAATCCAAAGTAACGTTCATAAAATTCGAGAAATCCACAGGTAGGCATCATGAATTATTATACCAATAGTCGAAATCAAGGAATCTGGTGTGGTTCTTTTTTAGTCAAATTGTATGTAATCACTGTGACAATAGCTATTTATGTACCGCCTTAAAATCTTTGCAAACGGTACATAATTTCTTAAATTGTTTCCTGAAAATTCATTTGTGCAATGAATGATGTCATTGATAAAAGCGTTGCGCTATATTTTATTTTGATAATGTGTTGAAGTTTACCTTTCTCCTCTTTATTTTGTTACTATTAAGACAGTGCCAAATAAAATTTTATTCACTTAGGAGACTTCAAAATAAGGTTGAAAATAAACATACAACAATAACAACAGTAATTTGTGTGCTTGAAAACAATGTATAATGGTAAACCAAATAACTTTATGTTAAAAAGCATTGAGCATCTATTTGTATTCAATGTACAATCCCTGTTCTTTTAAATTTTTGCTTGCATTTTGATTCCACTATGAATTATGAATTCAGATGAACAACTGGATTTGGATAAACGTGATCGAATATTGCCTAGCTCGACTGGAAACAAATGGGAGAATAAAGTTACTTTGGGAATAGTTGATGCAGTAGGTTTTTTTATATTTTGTATCAAGGATATGTGTCTTAAATTCTTTAGCAATTTGACTTCCCTCTTTTGAACAATGATCTTTGGAAATCACAAACATGATAGACCAATTTTTGATGATAAATATCACATTGTTCTGCCTAAAAGATTTGTCACAGTAAATCTAACTAATTCATTTATTTTACTTAGGCCGATATATGTTTAAGAAATTCGATACTCAATCTACCTGATGATACCATCTACCTAATGATTTGGAATTTCGGTTTAATTATTTGAACCTCTTTTTCCCATTATCAATGTGTTATATAGGATATTGACATGAAGCATTTTATATAATTTAACATTGTAAAAAGATCAGTCATCAAACTTATTTTTAATACAGTGATTCAAATTACCTTTGTGGTGTCAACAATCTTTTCTAGAAAATTCAATCCACCCAATTTCCATATACTTTTGTTAACCAACAAGATTGACGCCGTATTTATGTTACAATGCATTAATTCTTGGGTACTATGAAGATATCTTAGTGCGTCTGTAATCTAGATGAAAAGAAATGATAAGTTGCTATGTAATCGTTTAACTTAATTCCTATTTATTTTATTATACATGTCTCAGGATGTAATAAACAGAATAAGTTTCGCAGTCGATAGTGTTGTACTTACAATAAGTATGATACTCTATGACGATTAATATAAGTACTAATATGTGATGAATGAGATTTATAAATTCGTCCAGTTTAGAGCTGTAACGTTTTAGTACTTCAACGGCATTATCCAACCGTGTTTAAGTCACTGGAGTCGATAGGGAAATTATACTTAAACCAATGAGTAGTCTATGCAAATAAAAAATTTAAAAAACTTTATGTGATGACGTCCAAAGAATCCAATGGCAGAGTTGTCTTTTATCCGGTGGGACGGCAAGAATAGTACCAATTTTATATTGATGAACCAAGATATCATGCAAGTCATACTAAAATAATTTCTTAGTCTTACTGTTCACTTATTCTTAAGACACAACACAACTTACATCAATTCTGATTTTTATGACGGTAATTATAAATTGTGCAAATTTTAAATAACCGATCAAATTCAGTAATTCAATTGTATAGTGGTTTGCATGAAAGCAGGTCAATGTATACTACACTGCAAAGTCTTTGTCAAATAACGGAGAGGTTGCTCTAGCGGAGTATGCTAGATAAGAAATCGATTCATCCATCCATGAAAAAAGTATGGTTATTATCATATGATTGATAAGTGCTTCAGCGAATGCATTCATATGTCCGCGACTCAATAGTCGAATATTGTGACTTGTTGAATAGACATCGTCTTTAAATTCTGTAGCTTTTGAATTCATGTAGTAGGATAACCGGTCAAATAAACAGTCTGTGAGGTGAATATTAAGAAAAGGGAGGTGTGAAGTGTATTACGTAGAAAGAACACAGAAAGCTAATGTCTCTAAAGAAATGTAAATAAGTTGTGTTAAGAAACGTAAGGAACATCACTTATTGTATTTTTGATATTTGCCTTAGAGCGTAATGAAAACTAATGAAGGCAACAAAGTTAATGTGAATAGCTGTTTACTTGATGTATTAAAACTAAATAACATAGGATGATAAAGACGGTTTATGGCGTAGTTCTATCTTTTAAATAGGTTATTTAGTTACAATAACCTCTGAATATGACTGGAAACAAATCCTGCCATAACCAAAATGCACTACATTTTCTTCATTTCTACTCTCCCATAGTTACGAACGTTTTGAGTAAATTTCATGTTACGACTCAGCATTGTTCTCAATACACTCATTTTTGGATTATTATGTGAAAATTAATGAACTATAAATGAATATATATCATACCGGTCAATATACCGCCTTTTTGTCATGCTTTGTACACCATAATCATGAAAGTAGAACTTTCTGTCTAACTAACATTTCATTGTTTTATTGAAAAAGAAATATTCATGAACATCATTCATTATTGAGACCTTACATTAACTATAGTTGTGACTGAAAAAATTGTGTACCGTACCTTGTCAACAAATGAATTATATCCCTATTTTATTTTTATTTCATCATACAAAAACTTGTCATTACTTGATGTAAGGGAGTTTTCTCCAAGCTTCATCGGAAAGCTACTTCGGAAAGGTTTCTAACTAAAATTGTAAGTATTTTGTATGCGCTAGTGAAACTAACTCTTAAAGTTGTAGCCATTATTTTTATTGTCGAAGCGTAATCAATGTCTATTTTTAAATAGTAATCCATTTGTGACCATAGAATACACTAATAGTTTCCTGAAATTTCCGGATTTACTAATCAAAATTGTCAATCATTTCTTGCCCATGAAGAAAATACGTTTCTAAAAATCAATAAATGCCTTGTTAATCTAGATTTCAGAGATTGTAATTCTTGTCATTTTCTGACAACAGCTATGGGTAACTAAAGAACTACAAACAACTATTTTGTCACATTTGGAATCATTCAGTAGTATTTTACTGTGAAATAATTCAGAACCTTCAGTTGTAGAGACCAATAAATCAAACTTATGGTAAAATATATATTCAGTATCCCATGTTTATAGTAGTTCTAGAGCTAAATAGTTACATTGAGAACTATCTTTAAATAATTTTATTACAATCTACATTAGTCAATCACGTTTTTTACCAGTTTGATATTATGTTTATAAAATAATTTCAGCTCATAATACCTAAATACTCTAAAATGAAAAGTGATTATTTATCTGGATAATTTGCTGATGATTTGCTTAATTTAGACTGAATATAACTAAACACTGAAATCCACAACTAACATAACACTGGGATATTTTTTTTCACTTTAGGAAAATATAAATAGAAAAATTTCCTATTCATCAGTGCAAATAATCACCGAATTTCCTACTAATAAAGCATTTTATTGTATTTCTAATAAGAACGAATTCTTTAGATTAGCTACAGGTTTACGTGAAATTTGTAAATTGTCAATTAGATTGTGATATTGTAACAGTTAACCTTATTTCCATCAATCAGTATACATAGTAATTATTGATAGAACGGTTTAAATGTTTGTGGAGATTGACTTACATTGTAAGGTGATGTTGGCAATAATAGACTACTTTTCAAAGTTTCAATCAAATGTTCAGTCTGATAAACGTTATTGTTGGACTCAACGTAGCCTAGAGAGTCAAAATTACATTTACTGAAGGATACATTGTCTTGAAAATTTACTGAATTTGAACATATAGATCGTTGAAGTGCTGATTTTCAGGACGCATATTCATACCTAGACCTAAAGGTTTATAGATTGGACCTTTTAAATAAAATGAAACAGCTAACCAGTGCTCGACGAATCTTAAAATATCTTCAGCGTATTACAGTTTGTCACAAAATTCACCATCAATTAAAAAGGTTTTGTTGGGGACGATAGATCCCCAAAACTCATATTTTGTAATTTTATCTTATCGATTAAATGTTTAAATAGCAGTCGATTGACGAAATTGTCGATAAAATATTTGAATTCCTGTTGATTGATGAACTTATCGATTAATGTTTAGAAACATTTTACTATGACAATATCGAATGTAAATATTTGTATAAATACGCTTGACTTGTGTGCTTGACCTGGCTTGGTATCTGCCGTTTGCCTGTAGAATACACTTTCTACGCCTTACAAAGACTTCTTGATCGCGTTAGCTGAGTCGGGGACAACGGACTAGAATTGTCTATCGAGATTTCGAATCCCTTGATCCGACCGACAAGTCACTGTCCTATAATCGGCGGTCCCTTGAGATATAACAGGCTTTTACAATGAAATATTTGATTAGCTAATTATTCAGATAAACAAATAATAATGCATTTTGCAGCATTTCAATTTTTTTCTTAATTTTTCTGTGTTTATTACTCGATAAAAGATATTTCAGTTTAACACTCTTAGGCTGCTTTTATCTTGGTCAACTTCTGGCCTAATTAGTTAGTAATCATTTTAATTATATGGTGGCTAATGCTCATATAACCTTACTCTTCGCATTTTCGCAGCTTAAACTTACATCGATCACATAATATTATTATCACTGTTGCTATCACTATAAATGTAACACTTGCAAATGCTTTGAGAAATTTATTTAGCATCCATCCCTATTTACTAATTCGTACCTAATTTATATTATTTTTACATATTACGTAATTCTATTATTACCTCTCCTACTCCATGTTAACCAATATCAATTCTGATCATCATTTATTCAACGTACATACTTATTCAGGCCAATACTTTATATTAGTTATCCTAACACCAAGGAGTTTATTACAAACAATTCTAAATTAACATGTTACAATTTTAAACGATGAATTTTATCTTAAACCTGGCCATCTATTGGTTAATCAATTTGGAGATTATAATTTTAGAACCTGAAAAGAATTTATTGCAAAGAATATTCTTCGTTCATAGATGTCTGTTTTAAAATAATTAATCTAGATTATTTTCGTGAAGTAAAGATAACTAGTTTAACACTAAGATGAAATCAGAAAGGGGTTTTGTGGGTATTATAGTAATTTAATAGTTGAGACCATAAGTCAGTTGAAGCTAGACCACCATGGAAAACCTGGAAACGCTGGACAGCATTTATCAAACCTTTAATACATCTTTTTGGAAATCTTTTTATGTAAATTAATTTAGAAAAAATAATCAGTTCACATAGTTCTAGATTTTTGAATGCAATTATGAATTCTCAATACAAGTTACTGCTACACATTACTTGTATTCTATATGTTTGCAGCATAGATGGAAAAAGTATGGTAAAAGACCCCTTCATAATAATTATATAGTTTGATCAGAATGGAATTTATGGATATTGTAGTAATTTTAATAGTGGGATTCATGAGTCGATGAAACGGCCGTCCAGTGCTTCCAGGTTTTCTGTGTTGGTCTAGCTTCAATTAACTGATGATTTCAACTAAGATAAAAGTTTGTTCGGCCTATGAAATATATTTTAAACCTAATCGGTATAAACTACCGTACAGTTATGCATGTTGAAAGTATTTTCGTATCACTACATTTCTTTGTCCTTTTTAATTAAATTGTCAATAGACTAGTACCATCTATACTTTTAGAAACAAATTAGAATGGTGCATAAAACTGATATATATACCAAATACACTCCATAAGACATTACCAACAGAAATGCTTACCTGACATTGTGATGAACTATCAAAAGTCAACAAACTTGTCAGAACATATATTCATCAACCTAATTCTTTCGATGTAGACATAAACTGTTTACATAAAGTAAAGTTTGAATTTTTAGTACTGATCTGAGTTACTTAATTTTATGAAGTAATGATTCAGAGTGTTTATAAATGTTACAACTTGGTTCATTCATTTAATTTTAACTCCTTTTTTTAAGAAAAAAATTGTTTGTTCCGTTATTCACTACATTTAAATGGTTTGTAAACATTTATCTTTCAACAAGTCTAATGGTAATATAGTGGCGTATACATGTAATGAATTTGTTTGTTTAAAACCATCTGTATAGATATTGTCTAGATAAGTATGAACTTGAATAGCCTTCTTAATATTACTTGATTAGTGTTTTGAGTGTTTTTTATTATCCCTTATACAGGCAATCACATAGTTGTGTCGAATTTCGACGTTAACTGATAATACAAACAAAAGTCCACTAATCAACTGAAGTTATTAGTATTAACAAATTTATTTTTCGAAATCATCCTTCCAATGAACATCGAGATAAGTTTTGTCATCTGAATCAGTGAGTTTTGTTGAAATAAATTATCATTAAATACACAGCTTTTGTTATCCGTGATTCTTTTATACTGTGTAGACCTCTATCTATGTATCCTTGTCTGTCCGTTCATCAGTAAACAAAACAGTGTAAACAATTTTTTTAAAAGATAGAAGCTACATGATCGCACAGAAAAGCTTTTATCATGTTGTTATACTCTTATTTTACATGTAAATAACAATGTTTTCTTAACAACTCAGTTGACGTGACGTAAGAAAACCTTATTTGGTTAAATACAACCAAATGCTTATTAAGATAAACTCATCAAAAAATATTTTCGTATAACTTTCATTTAATTGGGTTATCTCATCACAAACAATCGATCAATGTTTAATACTTTACCTGTAAAAATACTAATCCAGCGTGTCACTGTGTATTATTCATTGTTACTGTATTTCTATTCCTCATTATATCACATGCATGAACTGAAGTATACAAAACAGTTTCCTTTCAACTTGAATAAATTAAGAGAATTTGGAAGGCAAGCTTATAGACAAAAAAGAGGGAGGACGTCATCACTATTTAGTTTTTTCAATTGGTTGAAAACTTTACAGCTGAATCCAAACAGATACATACTAAAGTTGTGAGTGACGTATTTAACTCGTGAAAAAAATAGAAATGTATTACAGTATACTATTGGATATACGTTAATAATGATTAGTTTAATTTTATTCATAATTTGACTGTTATGGCATTCAACGGACACCAGATTTTTGACCTGTCAATTATTTTATTAATACTGTTTTTTTTCCCAACCTCATTTCGATACCTGATTTCTCATATCACTTTATAATGTAATTTTTTCTCCTACATTTATAAAACCACTATAATTATGAATGTATGGCTTCAGTAAATGGTGACATTGGAAATAAAGTCCTGCCCTTTTAATTCTCCTGATTCTTTATTCAATTATTTGCTGAATTGCTTAGAAACTATCTTTATTATTTTAGTTATTAATATTTCACATCAATTCTGTTATCTTAAGTTGCGAACAACTTTTTTTCCTTAAATAACTCTTTTTATTACAAGACAGTAATGTTCAAATGGTGTTACTCACTGGTCAGTGATTCATTTTGGTTAACATAATTTTCTGTTACTCAATGGATTATCAATAAGCAAAATTGAAAAAAAACAACAGAAGTAACGTGAAAATAACTTGAAGAATTGCTTGCAAGTTTTGGGAGATGTGTTGATTTAGAAATATGTCATAAGACTAAGAAGACTAACGTGTTCCCCCTTTTAGGTGAATTTGACTGTTCCTGTGATTGACTACATTTTGAAGTTCCATATAACCTACATAAAAAGATATACTCTAATCAATTGATATTTATGGGTTTTTTTCTGACATAGAAATGACCATTTGTCGACAATTATAAATAATTCAAATTGTGAAGCGTTTGTGTTTGCATTATAGATGAAGAAATCATTTGAATTTTTTTCTTTTTCAGTTATCACATAATACTAATTTATT